AAGATTCCACTTCAGGTTGTGATGAAGCAGTGCTTTTTCAATGTCTTTGAAAATATTTTCTCCTGTAACTGTTCCACGAAGAGTGTTCAGAGAGGTTAATTTCTGCCACTTCAAAACTGTCACTTGCTCTTAAAACAAACAACAACTGAACAGTATCCGTAATATCTGTTTAACTCATGAGGCACTAAAAGGTAATTGTCTTGCCTTTTCTCTTCTCATCTTTTAACTATTAATGTTGCCCCACTAGTCTGAACTTTTCAAGTAACTGTTTTAGCCAAATGACTAATAGTCTGACTTTTTCTAGACACATTTATTTGTCTATTGCAATCAAATACAATTTACTTGAACAGTCTACCCAGTTTAGTTTAAGAAATGAGCCATTCAGAAAATTACTTGGGTTGTAGCTTGCATTTACATTTTACACTTTTGTAAAGACTTCTCCTGTGATGAAATACTGTTTTGAGTCATCTAACTGTTCTCACTGTTGTTTTCTTGTCAGTTCGGAGTATTTTGAGGAGTGCTTAGTATGAAAATGTTGACATTTATTGTATTCCTCTATGAAAACGATAGTGTTATTGTATAATAAATGCTTCGTCATTGAATTTGATAAAATAGTCTACTCTCCATTGTGCCTTAAAAGTGTCACGTTTAAAGTCCAGTTCTTTTTTTCCCTTGTTTTGATGTGATAGGTATGCACTGATAATCTTAAAATGTTTCTAGTGGGCCCAGTACAGTAGCCTAGAGGCTAAAGTCCTCTCCTATGCACGGGGTTCCCATATGGGTGCCAGTTCTAATTCTGGCGGCCCCATGTCCCACCCAGCTCCCTGCTTGTGGCCTGGGAAAGCAGTGGAGGACAGCCCAAAACCTTGGGACCCTGCTCCTGCTGGAAAACCCAGAAGAAGTTCCTGGCTTTGGATTGGCTCAGCTCTGGCTGTTGCGTTAACTTGGGGAGTGAACCATCAGATGGAAGATCTTCCTCTCTGTCTCTCCTCCTCTCGGTATATCTGACTTTGCAATAAAAATAAATAAATATTTAAAAATGTTTCTAGTGATATGTATGCGTTACTCACAATGATACCAAGTTACGCACTGTGCTTTGTAGGGCACGGAGCAGAACTATGACGTGTTGAGGGCACTGCACATACATTCTCTGTTGCAACTACTCAGCTCTGTGTCGTGTGAAAATAACCACAGACAATATGGAAAAATGAGTAGGACTGTGTTGCAATAAATTATTTCTTCATGAACATACTGTGTCTTTCGTTACAGTCCCACGTATCTCCGGAGCTCTACTTAATTTCCCAGTCTATTTTATTGTCTTTGTTGTTTAGATAGGCTATTTTTCTATTGTTCTGTCTTGAAGCTGAGTAATTATTTCCTCTACACTCTCCGTTCTGTTATTGGACTCACATAGTGGAGTTCAAAATTATTATCGTATTTTCCAGTTCTGAAGTTTTATGGCATGAATGCAGTCTTCCTGACTCCTTCCCGACTATGAGACTCTCCGTGACCGAGATGAAGGGTCCTTACAGCCTGTGATAGTCTTCATCTTGTGGGGGCTTCTCTTTTTGGTTTCTCACTCAGTGTGTGCTTCTTTGTTCTGCTTAAACGTGTGTTATATGGCACCCTGACCATCCTACTATCTGTCCTTTGCTGGGAGGGGGGCGCGTTCCTTCTGGGTAACACAGGAGTGTATTGTCTGCCAGAGGACCCAGTGACGGTGCATGGTCATGGCCACCGACTGAGCCAATTTTGGTCCATGTCTTCTCTGTGTGGGTGAAGCATTGCTCCATCCAGGGCTTGACTGTGTGCTGTTTTCTTGGAGGCTCCAGTACCAAGATACAATGGGCAGAAGTGTCTGGACTTCTACGCCCAATAACAACAGATACCACAGACTTGACAACCATTATTTGTATCTTGTATTTACTGAACCTTCCTTTTTGTTTGCTGAAACTCCTTAGCTGTTCATTTGCTTTAAGTGAGTTTGTAATTGCTTGCTTTTTTTTTTTTTTAAAAAAAGATTTACTTATTTTTATTGCAAAGTTGGATATACAGAGAGGAGGAGGAGAGAGAGAGGAAGATCTTCCGTCCAGATGATTCACTCCCCAGCTGACCAAAATGGCGGTGCTGCACTGATCCAAAGCCAGGAGCCAGGAGCCTCTTCCAGGTCTACTATGTGGGTGCAGGGTCCCAAGGACTTGGGCCATTCTCTGCTGCTTTCCCAGGTCACAAACAGGGAGCTGCATGGGAAGTAGGACCTCTGGGATTCAAATCAGCACCAACATGGGATCCCAGCATGTGTAGGGTGAGGACTTTAGCCACTAGGCTGCTGTGCCGGGCCCAGTATATAATCTTTAATGTTGTAAAGTGACACAGTAGGAAAACTGAAGCTCAGCTTATAGTAATTTGTTGAAGGCTTCTCAGCTATCAAGTGATAAAGTTGGAATTTCAACCTAGACGTATGTGATTTCAGAGTGCATGCTCTACCACTCAGCCACATAGGTTTTCAGATTCACTTTTCACAGAAATAATTATAAAATCACTTAGTTCACGTCCTCTTTTGTCTTTAGTGAAAGATGGAGCCCTTGGATGCTTCACATCCATCTTACACATATTAGACAATAAACTAGGCAGGATCCAAAAAATTACAATGATGTAAGGGCTTATGCTATTGCATGGAAACTGTCTCACACTTAAGGATGGAGGATACATACTAAGAGTTGCAAGTGACCCAAGGGTGTTCACTTCCAGAATAAGTAACTTTGCCAGGGCCACCCAGACTGTGCAGAGCAAGGATTCCAACCCAGTATTGCCTGACTCCAACTCTCACACCGGGGCATCTGCTGGAGGCAATTCTGCAGCTATCACCCAGCACCAGTGGGAAGGAACGGGTTCAAGTATTGGGAATGGGCAAAGGGAAGGATTCGGGACCAGCTAATTTCAGGAACACGGAGAAACACAAAGAGAATCTGAAGCTCTGTTCAAGTCTGAACACGTGTGAGACACACGTTGTGTGCGCATGTGACAGAGACATACAAAGAGCCCAAAAGCTCCCAAGTCTTCAAGGTCACCACTTTTGGAAAATTGAATAATGCATTTGTTAATTTAGCTGTAGAAAATATTCAGCCTTCTGTACTCAATCACTCAAGGAAGACAGAATACCCAAAAAAACCCTGAATCGATGCTTCAGGGGAAGTCATTAAACATGAAATATAATCTATATAAAAGTACAGTTTGTTCCTCTAGTGTCTTTTCTCGGGGGAATAATCCAAAAGTGTGAGCAAAATCAGCTGGGACTGCCATCGCGTCCTGGTGAACACTGCCAGGATTTATGCACTATGCAGCACCAGAGCGTCACCGTGTTATTTTAAAATGCAGGTTTAAATATGAGAAGCCTTGAAAAGGTTCATGGGAAACGCATTTTGTGAAAAAAAAAAAAAAAAAACAAAAACCTATGTACGGATTTCACATTTTCCGGCACCAAAACATACTCATGTTTCAATTCCATTTTCCACAAACTTTTGGGAGGTTTCCCCCTAACATCTTATCTATTGGGTACAGATGGCAACTTGCTAATCAAAATATACACATATACATAAATATACATAAAGGGAGTCTTCATTGTCCATTTATTTTTTCACCCGTACCCTGGGGAGACTGGAGTTTATGCCCTGCTAGCAGACCTGCCTGTCACATGAGCCATATCTTATTAAATCCATCTTTTCAAAGGACTTAGTTGATACAAGATGCTGGTTTCTTTATCTTACACGTATAGTAAGCCACGGACTCTTGACTTTTTATTTGTGCTTGAGAGGCAGAACAAGAAAATTATTGTCTAAAGGTTCCCGCGTGTCATAGGGGTAGAAAAGAGGTGTTTTTTTTTTTTTTTTTTAAACGGAACAGCAACCAATGATGGGGATCTGAATGTTTCTTTTCCCAAGCCTGCCCACAATCCCAGCAGCCCCGGTTCTTGGAGGAAGGCGCCCAGCGAAATTACAAGCAGTAAATCCCAATATCCCGCAGAACCCCGCCTCACAATGTTTCATTGCCTATTCTGAGAATAATCCTAAACAACTACGGTTAAGACCCAGGGTACACGCAGGTAGCAAGAAAACTTGGCTCCAAAGTGCCGCCAACAGACAGACCTTGGGCGGTGGGAGCCAGCGTCAGCGAGCCAGACTTGGCAGGCAGTCTCTTCATTCCCTCCGGCCTGGCATCAGGGGGCCTTTTCCCCTTCACTTTGGGGGGGGGGGCGGGCCGAGAGCGGGCCAGGCCTAGGGCGGCGCCCAGGCCGCGGGGCAAGAGCCTGGCAGCCCCTCCCGGGGCACACTCCTCGAGGAGACTTTTATTTTAGTGTGCGCCTTCTTCCGAGGCTTGCGAGGTTCGGGGCTGCGCGCCGCCTCTCGAGAACGCGAGCCGCACTAGAATCCTGCGGGCCCGGGGTTCCGCAGCGCGGGTGCAGGACGGCCGAAGCCGCTCTCCGGGCCCACCCTCGAGCTCGCTGCCAAAGGGCGTCCATGGCGCCCCAGTGTGCCGCTCGGCGCCCGCCGCGGGCGGTGCCGGACCTCGCCCTTCCCCGCTGCTGCTCCCTCCCCCATGCTCCCCCTTCCTTCCCCTACCCCCTCCCTACCCCCTCCTCCCCCCTCCCCTCCGGAGCCCGCTGCAGCTCCCCAGCTGACACGGCCCAGACCCTCCATTCTCTAGCACAGTGTATTTAAGCAGCACAACCTAACCGCCCGTTCTCTCTCGGTGACCACCCTTTCCCAGGGACAGACGCGCCCAGCAGCCAACCACCGGCCCTAACTGGCGTTGGTCCCGATTCCCAGTCGGTGGCGGCCTCGGTGGGCGGGGCTTCAGCAGCTAGCAAGTTGAGTGGAGCCACGGCTGACGTGAGTCAACAAAGGTCACGTGAGGCGAGCGGGCCGCGCCGATTGGCTGCGCCCGCCGGGCGGGGAGGGGGGGTCACGGCGGCGGCGTGGGGTTCGCTGTGTGACACAATTACAACAACTTTGTGCTGGTACCGGGGAAGTTTGTGTCTCCATCGAATTGCCCCCGTGCTCCCCAGCCCCGCGCGCTCCGGCTCTTCCCGCCGTCCCTGCCCGTGGCTGCGCCCCGCCCGCCCCCCGCGATGTGAACGTACAGCCGAAGCACCGCCGCTGCCTACCCGGGGGGCCCCGCAGCCCCTGCCGCCGCCGCCGCCGCCGCCGCCGCCGCTACCGCGTTGGGATTTTTCTTCGCCTTCGCCTGTGGCGGAGGAGGAGGAGGAGGACGAGGAGGCGGCGATAAAGTTGGTGTGCCGGTCCCGCGCGGAGACTGGGGGAGTCGTTGCGTGCCCCGGCCCGGGAGGGGGGGTGTCGGCGTTGGAGGAGTTGTGAATTCGCTGCGTTTCCATGAAATCCTGCGGAGTGTCGCTCGCTACCGCCGCCGCCGCCGCCGCGGCTTTCGGTGATGAGGAAAAGAAAATGGCGGCGGGAAAAGCGAGCGGCGAGAGCGAGGAGGCGTCCCCCAGCCTGACAGCCGAGGAGAGGGAGGCGCTCGGCGGACTGGACAGGTAGCGGCCGCCGTCACTCGCCGGGTCGGCTACGGAGGGGCGAGCGGCGCCTTGGCGGGGAGGCCCGAGCGCGGCTCGCCTCCGGCGCCGGTGGGGCGGGCACCTCGGCTGGGCGCTCTCGGGCGGGCAGTGCCGCCGCCGCCGCCGCCGGGGCCTCGGGCTCGGGCAGGGACGGGGCTGTGAGGTTGTTAGAGCGTTAACGAAAGCCGCCCCTGTGTCTCTTGCCACAGCCGCCTCTTCGGCTTCGTGAGGTTTCATGAAGATGGCGCCAGGACCAAGGCCCTCCTGCTCAAGGTAAGGCAAGCCGCGGGCCGGAGCGTGGACTCGGTTTCCCCAGCCGCCTCGGCGGGCGCTCATTGTGGCCGGGAACGGTGGCCCGGGGGGTTCCGGAAAACTCTTGCCCGCCCGCGCCCTGCCCCGCACCCGCCGGCCCCCTCGCTTGCTCCCTTGCGAAATGGCCCGCTCCTTTCGGAGCCGGGGGGATCCGAGACGGCCAGCGCTTGGGGTCCTGCTCGACTGGGGCGGCGAAAGTGCTTGCGGTTTTTACAGCTTTTTTTGGGGGGGGGGAGGGAAGGGGTGGGATGGGGCAAGAGGGTAGGCCGGTGAGCTGCCAGCTGCACGTAGGAGCTAGGGGTCCTTCGAGTGTGCCATCACCCTCGGATTTCCCACTTACTGGCCTCCCCTGTGTGTGTGTGTCTATTTTATTATCATTATTATTGTTTTCCTCCAGGTGGGCTGTCCGTGGTGTCCACTGTTGGTCAGTCCAACGTCTTGGGTTTTCTTGGGTGCTTGTTTTCAGAACGGGGAAGTTGGCATGCAGTTTTAGGTCCACGAAGAGTTGCCATTGCTCTGTTGACATGTAGCTCAATTGGTAGGTGCTTTACCTGAGTTAGGGGACTTGTTTACTTTTTTGGGGGGGGGTCTTTTCTGTCCTAGAGATGAGCGCAGGTATTTGTGAATGTGTTCTCTTCCTGGCACCCCTTTTTTCTGCGTGTCCGCCTGCGGAGGCCCGACAGGATTCGGGGTGTAGTCTGTGTTTATTTGTGTGGAAAGTTGTTGGCACTGTCATTTAGTTAAGTAATGGCTGCTCCTATCGGCCCAAGATGGCGGGACAGAGTGGGAGGAGAAAGTGAAGGGGAGGCTTCGCGGGGAGGGAGGCGAGGTAAACATGCAAATAAACACTGGTGATGAGTAGGCCTCTGCTTGGGAGTGTGTCACTTGGTGGTGCTTTGTAAAAATTATCCAAGAGCATTTGCACACCGAATTCTTTCTCGTGCCCTTCTCGCTCCCCGAAGCAGGGTGCCCGAGCCTGGGAAACGCGATCAACCTGTAGCACGTTTAGTTGCCCATCCGTGAGCTGTTGAACAAAGGCTGGAGTCTCCCTCTGTCTCCATCAGTTGATGGCTGCTGGTTGAAGTCTGCTAGAAATGGTCTTAGCATGTTTTCTTAATTGGGACCCTGAAACTTCGGAGTGCGTGAGAGGTGCGGGGGGAGGGGGGGACCCTGGACGTTTTTCTTTTCTGGCCGAAATCGGTAGATTTGCATTTGACACCAGCTTCATTGTTGCCGTGGAAAAGGAAGTTTGAAATGTCTGAAGCTGAGCATTTTATTCTTCAGCTGGTGTTTTTGGTTTAGGTGTTCTTTGTTTTTGTCTGTGGTTTGGTGTGCCAGTCTTTAATCCCCTTTTATCTGCAATTATGCTTGTTTTATTTAGAAGTAGCTAAATATAAGGCATTTCCATGGCAAGTAATGATCAGAAGGCTGACCGGAAATAATGCTTTCCCAAAGTCCCTTCGACTGGTAGGGAAAACTTGAATTGAACTTTTGTGAGAGTATTAATCTGCTTCATGCCATCCTCGCTGGAAGGGCCAGCACTTACTCGCCCTGAAACAATGATAGTTGCTCTCCTGCCTTCAAGTTTTTCTTTTTGCAGCTTGAATACTTAGATATTTTATTCAGAAATACTTGACTGTGGTAAAAGTTGTCATTCCAGAAGATGAAATGAATGATTTAAAGTTAAAGCAGCATTTTGTTTTCGAGTGATTATCGTCGGTCTAACGTGGGATTAGTAAGTTTGTGTGCCATTTATTTGGAGAAGTTTGACCAAGTCTGTTGCTTTCGGTTATGACGATGAAGAAATAAATTGGATCTGATGTTTATGCGGATAGTGTGTAAAAAGCCAGTTGATTTCATGTCTTAGAATGCTCGTATTCAGTTAAATTCACAGTTGATGGCGCCTCACATTGACTCTCAGTGTTGCAATACTGAACTCTGCAGCTATGCGTTAGTGAACTTTAATTTGGAAACAGTGTTCACGTTTTTTTTTTATGTGTGAAGTTTTGCATGATTTTTTGACTACAACCATATAAATTAGAAACTTACAAAGCTTCTGTATGTTTTCATAAAATCTTGGATAATAATTTGATAAACTGCAAAGTTGGTTTTGGAGCTGAAGGAAGGTAATCGCCTTGCTTTAAACTCGGCTTGTGAGGTCCTACCTGCTTAGGTCAAGGTTTACTGGCTTTAGCATTAAAGTAAGACCATTCTCTGTGTGTGCTTGCAACCTCGTGTGCTTCCTACTTGTGTCCTTGTGAGCCTGAATATTACCAGTGCAACGTGTAATGTAAAGCTTCGCATTATATAACCGCGCACACTCTGCTTGGATTGGGTTCTGAATAGAATGCATGGCCTGGTGTCCTGCTGCAAGGAGGATTGAATTATTTAGTTTCAGCGCTCTTAAACAGCTCCGAGCAGCCGGCTTTTCTTTTTTTTTTTTTTTCCTTTCCTTTCCTTTCCTTTCCTTTCCTTTCCTTTCCTTTCCATTCCATTCCATTCCATTCCATTCCATTCCATTCCATTCCATTCTTGTTTTTTTTTTTTCCTCTTTCTCTTCTCTTGTTTTCCTTTGGGTTTTTTTTCCTCTTTTTTTTTTCCTCTTTTCTTTCTAATCATTGATTTGCTTTGGTTTCAGAATTGTTATTCTTTGGAAGTCTTAAAAACAAGACATGGCTTTTGTCTTCTGGGATAGTCAGGCTACTTACCTGAGGGCGGAGTTCTGTTTTGTCTGTTTTTTGTGTTTCCTCCTCCTCCTCTCTCAAAAACATATATAGTCTGTATGTTTCTTTCTGACAGAAATTTAACTATTCTTTGTTTTCAAAATTTTTTATTCGTATAAATTATAGGATCATTTTTGAGGTTTTAAATTTATATTTCTAAGTTAAAAAAAAATGCAAGTTTTGACTTAAAAGCTTTAGGAAGTTAAAAACATTTGAATGTCCGTTACTTGGCCCTAGAATGCTACCAAAGGCACAGATTTCTCTTGGTTTGAATACTTTTATCAGATTCAATTACACTAGTTATTGAAAGGATTTTTGTTTATCATTGCTGTTTAATATACCATGCTTTGGGTTAAAAAGTAGTAATTTAAGATATTGCTTTTGTAGTAATCTTTCTACGCTAATGTTGTAGCCAGCTAGACGTTGATTAATCACTTTTTGTGATATAACGTGATCTGGAACAATTTACTTTCTGTAAAGTTTAGTTTTTTGATAAAATTCAGAATTTTTTCAAAATTGCAGTGTAGTTACTGGAAAGTAATTAAGTGAAACATTTTACTAGAGATTAACTGCAGTGACTTTTAAGAACGTTTTTGCTTTATTTTAGTAAGGAATTGAGTTACAGTGTATAACATAACATAAATGTATATTAGGAGTACTACAGAGTATCATTACATTAAACTAGGGAAGGTATTATCTGTGTCAGGCTAATAGGATGTCATGTTTATATTTGAATTGTTGCTGAAATTAGTAGTTGCTTATTTTGAACAGTTCTATTTTAACTGATTTTTGTAAAGGCTTTATCTGTTTGAAAGGCGGAGTTACGGGGATTGGGGTGGCGAGAGGGATGGGTGGGGGGGGAACAGAGAGAGAGTTCTTCCATTTGCTGTTTCATTCCCCAAATGGCTGCTGCAACTGAAGCTAGGCCAATTCGAAGCCAGGAGCCCAGAGCTGCTTCTGCATTTCCCACGTGGTTGCAAGGGCCCAAGGAATTGGGCCATCTTCCATTGCTCTCCCAGGCACACTAGCAGAGAGCTGGCTTGGAAGTAGTGTAGTGGGGACTCTGACCATATGGTGGTGGCTTTGTTATGTCACAGCAACGGACTTTATTTTTAAGTTTCTCTAAAATAGTCTACCTTATTGGAAGTTTCCTTGGTAATTTTTTTTTAAAGATTCATTTATTTTTTTATTGGAAAGTCAATACAGGGAGGAGGAGAGACAGACGAAGATCCCCCGTCCTCTGATTAGCTCACCAAGTGGCCGCAATGGCCGGAGCTGAGTCGATATGAAGCCAGAAACCCGGAGGTTCTTCTGGGTCTCCTACATGGATGCTGGGTCCCAAGGCCTCGGGCCGTCCTTGACTGCTCTCCTAAGCCATAAGCAGGGAGCTGGATGGGAAGCCGGGCTACTAAGATTAGAACCAGTGATCATATGGCATCCCAGTACGTAAAAGGCAAAGACTAGCTGCTAAGCTATCGCACCAGACCCTCCTTAGTAATTCTATTAATGAAAAGATTAATTAAAAGATATGGGTTGTTTAGTATTTAAACATTTATGTGTCCCCCCCCTCCCCCCGGGAATTACTAGTGTTAAAATAGTGGACATGTAAAAGTTTTTGGTCCCAGCTATAGGCAACTGCCTAGGTTGCCTCGTACCTGGGAGAAAATAGCTGGTAGCTGACAAGCATTTCTGACTCTGGTTAATGCCAAATTTGTGTTCACTATACCAGTATGCCAGCATAGTTGCTTTTGTTTGTTTGTTTTTCATTTTTCTTTTTTAAATATTAGTTTGGGAGGCAAGGAGCTCTGGGTGGGTGATGCTGTCCTTGCCCGTAGGTTGGGGGGTGGGCCTGCAGATTGCTTGGGGAAGGGGGTCTGAGAACATATTGGTGTGGAACGGCTGAGGGCATGTTTGACCAGGAAGAAATGCCTTCTAGAGACTTCTGTGGATTGGGTTCCTGCACTCCCAGATAGGCAAGGGAGCTGAGATGGAGTGGTTTGGAGGGGGGAAAAAGGAAGACATGTCTGGATCGGGTCAAGGCACGCTACCCTGCCCACATGGGAGACCTGCACTGGGCTATATAGCATCTCCTGCTGCCTACTGGGGGTGTGCCTGGCTGGGCGAGGCCATAGAACCCACCTGCCAGTGTCTGAGCAGGGGTGGACCACATCAGGCTGGGTCACAGCATCCACCAGAATGTGAGAAAACCAGATCTGGGGAAAATTCTGAAGGGGACTT